AGGAAGGTACCGAGCCCCGCCAGCCCGCCCACCCTCTCCCCTCCCCTGGGGAGCCGCGTACCCGGGCAGGCCCTACGCCCGTCGCCGGCCTCCTGCTCTCCCACTGGCCAGGCCGATCTTTGCTCTTTAACCCCAAACTGCTGGTCTCGCGGGTCAGTCACTCCATCCCTGCTGGCCAGCAATTTTTGCATGAGGAAAGGAGTGCCTGACTATTGCTAGGAAGCTGCACATTCCCTGCCGATCCTCGGCCACCTGGGGCCCCTTCATTCCCGGGCAGCGAGTTCGGACCCTTCTGTAATTCGAGGTGGGAGCCACCTCTTCCAGCCTAGGCCAGGGACAGGGTGACCTGCCATCGAGGGAAAAGGTTAGGACTCGAGATCCAGGACCTCCCAGATGAGGGGAGTCAAAACCTATACTTAGAGGAACCCGTGGCCTCTCCAACCCTGCGTCCTCCACTTCCCAAAATCGGAGTCGGGCTTTGCACCCCCACATCATGCCCCCAATCACAGACCTTTGACAGTGGAAGTCAGACTGCGACTTTCCAGGGTCCCGCCAAGGACTGGCAGAGGCCGAGCTCTCCCACCAACCCCGGGGCAGCTCTGCAAGAGATGGGGTCCTGGCTGCACCTGCTACCCTCCCCAGGGCCTAAGCGTGGAAATTGTTCCCGGGACTGCTGGACTCATGCTTCCTGACTTGGCTTTGGTCAGAGCCCAGCGCTCTAGCCCTTGCCTCCCTCTGCCCAGCTCCCCCACACTCTTCCAACCCTGTAATCCCTGGAGCTCCACACTCCTTGCTGCCCTCTTGCTTCCCAAGCCTGGGGATGTCAAAGATGTTAGGAAGAGGATGTGGAAGCCGGGCTGGGGCCCCAGCGTGTGGAATGTGGGTTGCACGGCTACCTCCTCCCACAAAGGTGACAGGCAGGCTCCTCTCCCCCCACTCTCAGTCACTCTAATGGACACGAGCACCGCACAAGGAGAACTGGGCTGGCTGCTGGATCCCCCAGAGGATGGGGTAAGTGTGGGGGGAAGGATTTGGGGAGATTCTAGGGTGAAGGCCAGTGGGAATCGGGGCGGAGAGGTGGGTGGAGGAACAGAAAAGAGCAGGAAAAACTGGAAGTGTCTCCTCCTGGAGGGGGAGGGGAGGCTGAGTCAGTGCCTCCTGAATAAGGTTGGGGGGGGTCAGAAAGCATCCCACGGGGGAATGCCCTACTCCTCCCCCAGGCTGCTGTCTGGTGAATATTCCTGGGGGTGGGTGGGGGGAGAGTGCCAAGCATCCAGGGAGCAAGCCTTGCCGGGAAGGGAGAAAACACTGGAAACATTCTTGGTCTCAACTCCATTCATCCCAGTGGAGGTGCATGGGTGGGTTTCAGGGAGCCAGGGAACCCCATAAAAGTGTGTTCTAAATCCTTTGTGGGAATTGTTTGCTGGAGAGGAGAGCCAAAGCCCTCCTCAGATTCTTCGAATGTTAAAAGCTGCTCCCCAGGGGTGCCGAGCCCTTGGCACCATGTCCATATCTCCCAGGTAGGCTCCGAGCACCGCCATAACAGTGCTTGAGGATGGAGAGCCTGTGCAAAGTGCCTTCCCTCCCAGGTGTCCCTCAGACCTAGTGAGCAGAGGTCAGTTGTGGGTGGGTCCAGAGAGCATATTTGGACAAGAAGTCCAGAGTACATCCTGCTGCTACTCAGCAGAGCTGGCCACAGAACCTCCGGAGCTGCCTCAGTGGACAGACTTGCTGGTTCCGGACCCTACTCCCTAGGCATTGCCTTCCTTACTGTCCCTGAGAATTCAGCCCAGGCCTTTCTAGCGTCAGAGTTGCTTGCTGTCCTTCCTTCCCTCTGGGTCTGAGGGTCCTGGCTTCATTCTCTGCTGTACCACAGAGTGGCCTGTAATTATAGTTAATAGACTAAACCATAATATATCCTGCAGGAGTGGCTGTTTAGAGAATCTGAGATTAGGCCAGCCCTAATAGGCGCCTCGTCTCATAAACCACTTAATCACCCCACGACAATGGCTATACAGGTCCATCTGCTGGCTCCCACGGGCCCCTGCTGCCCCGACCCACATAGCTCTTCCCTAATTGGGCCAGAAAGAAAGGAAGGACCCTTTCTCTATCTTGCTGAGAAAATAGCCTTGCAGTCCCAAGGCAAGAAGAAAAATCCAGCAGTGCTGCACACCCACCCCCTACCTTGTTTGTCCCTGTCCTTCTCCTCAACACACACAAATACACACACACTCAGAGCCAAGCTCCCCAGGATGCCCCCTGTGTAGCAGCCAGCAGTGCCTGAGTGCTGAGTGAAAGATTCTTCATGCGGGTCCTGGAGGGTGGGTTCTCCCCCATCTGTCACTGCTGGCACTGGGAGAGGCAGTTACAGCTGGGAACATCTGCTTCTCAGGCTCCAGCTGCAGCCCTGGCAATCTGGCTACTGAGCTGCAGATTGACCACCCACCACCCTGTCCACCTCCCCCTGCCTCTGCCTTCCTCCACTCAGCTTCCCCCACTCAGCATGACTTCCCTGCAGGCTCAGACTCTAGGTGCTTTCCATGGCCACTTTGCTGACTAACACCCCTTGCCCCATTTTTGAACTTGCAAACATAATGCGGAAATATGTGCCTCAACAGCACTTATATTTCTGCCCCACCACACTACAAAAATTCTTATTAATGGTGCTTTTTCTTGCCTTTCCACAGAGCTGAGAGTAGGCAGGAAGGTCCGTGCACTGTAGTGGAGTAAATGCTGTGGGAAAGTGAACTGTCTTGGGGCCACAGGCTCTGTCACATTATGAAATAGCATTTAAAATATTACTGGGATGTTTTGTAAAATTTGCAAGCTTAAGGAATGAGAATGTTTCTTGAAGAAGAAATGGTAGACACGTCCTACCAGCAGATATCAGAACATCAGCAATAGTTGAAATATGTGGTGTTGACAAGAATCATCAGGTCCATGGAACAGAAGAGTCCAAAAACATCTCCACATATGTAATATTTGAATATGAGGGTTGGGGATGTGACTCAGTGGTGCTGCACCTGCCTGGCAAGCACAAGGTCCTGAGTTTGATCCCTAGTACTGGAAAAAAAAAATTGAATATATGTGGCCGGGCATGTGGCACACGCCTGTAGTCCTAGCACTCAGGAGGCTGAGGCTGGAGGATGCCTGCGAGTTCAAAGACAGCCTGACCTACATAGTGAGACCCTGTCTCAAGAAAAAAGAGTGCCAGAGATTTAGCCCAGTGGTTCCAGCACCTGCCTTGCAAGCATAAGGTCCTGAGTTTGATCCCTGATACAAAAAAATGAAAGAAAGAAAGGAGGGAAGGAAGGAGTATAGTGACCCAAATTGCAAATCATGGTGGAAAGTGATGTAGGGGAACAGAAAAACCTACTCTGGTTTCACTAACTGAACCTATGAAATTGGCAGTAGATAAATTAACAGCAAAACTATTTTAAGTAAACTTGAAATTGGCAGTAGATCAATTAACAGCAAAACTATTTTAAGTAAACTTGTACTTACAGGAGGTCTACAGAAGACAAAACTGGAGGGAAGGTCAGATGGTTTAGGCCTTCTTGCCATCCAGAGGTGTGGAAAGAAGTTGGGGGTGGGGAGATAAGCCAAACCCATAGAAGTAAATAAACAAAGGCTACCCGCTGTTCAGATAAGTCTCTGACTGATGTAAAATGCCTTACTAATGTAGATTTCCTTCAGAGATGGAAATTTGTTTTACTCAAAGCACTGCTTCACAGAGCTAGTCTTGTTTCTCAGAATAATCAGCTCAAAATGCACTGCACCAGAGAAGTATGTTTGAGGTCAGGTGTCCTGAGCCCCTGAAAGCATCAACTAGTTAGTCACTGAATTGACAATTGGAGATCTGTTTAAAAAAAAAAAAAAAAAAAAAAAGAGGAAGTAAAGACATCTTCCCACACTGTATACACAAACACACAAAATGAATTATAAGGAGATTAAAATCTAAACCAAAAAACCAAACCTACAAAAATTTTAAGAGAAAAGACAGATGTTTATAGCCTTACAATGGGAACAATTCCTAAGCAAAATACACAACCCAAATCGTATTATGTAAAAATGTTAAATGTATATAAAAGACAACATTGACAAGTGCCATAGCAGAGAATATTTGAAACATACATATTAAGCAAATGATTAATGTATATATCGTGTAAAAACTCATCCAATGAATAGTAGAATGATAACCAGAAATCAGACTAAATTATTATTATAGATTGATGAGTTAGATAAAAATACTATAGACATTCAGATAGGGCTAAGTCCTTGACAGGGCCAGGACAAAGGTGAAACACACCATAGATATACACTAACTGAAAACCAGGCCTCAAGATAAAGACAAGATGACCACATCCACATATTTCTTTAAAAAACTGGGCTTAATAAAATATAGATAGACATTGACCACCCTTGGCGTGACCAAAGACCTATAGACCCACTACCTCCCCGCAAAAAATACTTACTCTTTCCATCTATGATTGCTACGTGACTTGCTTCCCATTTGGACCACCACAACCTAAGTGACTATACTTGTAACCTTATTGGATGTCCATGGCTGTGGCCCACATTGTATCCACATGGGTTTCACCCTATAAAACTTCTCTATAAAGTGGGGACCTTGGGCTACCTACTCAGGACCCCTCCTTCCCCTCAGGAGCTTTCCTATTAATAAATATCTTCCTACTTTTAGCCTCCATTGTTCCTAAGACTCATTCTTCTATTTCTAAAAAACAAAAACTCAACATATCATACAGTTAACAGGTTGAGAGATATATTTCATATTTCCCATGACATTATAAGCAGATATTGTATACAAATAGCATATTAATGAACAAAAAAGAACCACACAGCCTCTTCAAAGAATGTAAATTAAAATGATAAGCTGTCCTTTAGTGTAATTACCACATGGATAACTGTAACCCTAAGCACTCCAACGCCATACAGTGTACCCCACACACTCTTGCCTTATGTTGCTGAGGCTGTCTTACAATAAGGCTGCCGATTGTTCAATCCTGTCCAGTTGGCATTTGATGGTGCCTGACATTCTCCTACTGCACTTTAAAGCTTTTAAAGCTTTACAGCTATCCAAAAAAAAAAAAAAAGATAAGCTGTCTTGATCATAGGATTGGCAAAAAGTAAAAAGATCATTAACATCCATTTGTCTTAATTACAGTTTTTGTTACTGTGATAAAATACCCGACACACAAAGTTTATTTAGCTCTTACAGTTTATAGAGGTTTCAGCCCATAATTGGCTGGCTTCCAGGGTGGCATGGCAGACAGGCATTACAGAGGAGAAATGGTTCATGGTGGGCAGAAGATAGCAAAGCAACAAGCAATGACCACAGTTCTTTCTGTCTCATCTTATCCAAGCTACTTGGGACAGGTAGCACTCACACCCATAATCCTAGTGCCCTTGAGCCTAGCATTGCACCATGAATCAGTTCCAGCATCACACATATCCAGGCACCTCTGAAAAAGCCCCACCTAAGACTGCACTGGGGGGACATCTAAAACACAAGCCATAACACCACTGTTAATGAAATTCTAAGCAATGAGCACTCTTGCCTGGTTGATGCAATTGTAAATTGGTGAAGTCTTTCAGAGAACAATTTAGCAATATCTTATAAAATGTGTAGTGTGTCACATTTTGATAGAGCAATTACATAGAAATCTGTATTAATCTGTATGTGTTCCTAAAAAAATACTAGAAGCTACTTAAATGGCCAACAATAGGTGAATGATTGAATAGATTATATTACATCCATACAACAGGACACTCTTTATAGATGGATAGGTCTCTATATACTCATACAGACTTCTTTCCAAGACATTGTTTGTTAAAATACAAAGTGTCTTACAGAATAACACTGGTATAATCTCACTTATGTTGAAAACACAGCTCAGAAGCCCTTAGACTTTTCTCTGGAGGCACTAAAAATAATCTGCAGAGTTTAACTCTGGTTATGTATGAGTGGCTGCCTCTGGGATGGTGGAAGAATGGGGGGACTTAAACTTTTATTCTGTTTATTCTGTCTTCATTTCTTCACTGTATAATTGGCACACAAGAAGCATAATGATTTTAAGAACATAAACTTGAGCCTGAAATACCTGGCTTCACAGTTCTGCTCTTCACACCTGAGCAGGTTACTGGGCCATGAGGCTAGTTGGTCCACCTTGCTTCCTCATAGAAATTGCTTAAAACAGTGACTGGCCTGTGGGAAGTGCTATATTAGTGCTTGTCATTAATTACTAGGTTTTTAAATTCTTTTAATGTAAAAGAAGTTAAGGAGGACAGACCTGATAGTACGTGGGAGTCCAGCCAACTGTTCCTATTGATTTTGCTAATGGCTGTAACTGGAAGGAGAGGGTGAGAGTTCCCTGTAGAGAGAGTTCTGTGCTTGTTCTTGCCCTCCAAAAATAAAGCTCCTCCTCTGCCTAAACAGACAAAAAGGTTTTGTGAATGAGCTTTGCCTTTGGAGTATCTGACACTTCTGATGAATGGGTAAAAGCTGGTGCTTGTACTCTTGGAGTTGGGATTGGAGTAGACAAACTGCAGGAACCAGAGGGCTAGCTAGGTTAAGGGGTTATTTTTTTAACTATCACATGTCCAAGTATAGCTGCAACCTTAAACACTTAACCTACTATCCTGGGGCTGAGGGATCAGATTAGGCAGTTCAGGTCTCTGATTCTGATTATCTTCCCACAGTGGAGTGAGGTGCAACAGATGCTGAAGGAGACACCCCTGTACATGTACCAGGACTGCCCACTGCAGGAAAAAGGAGACACTGACCACTGGCTTCGCTCCAACTGGATCTACCGAGGAGAGGAGGCTTCGCGGGTGCACGTAGAGCTGCAATTCACTGTGCGCGATTGCAAGAGTTTCCCTAGAGGAGCTGGGCCTCTGGGCTGCAAGGAGACCTTCAACCTTCTGTACATGGAGAGCGACCATGATGTGGGCATCCAGCTGCGGCGGCCCTTGTTCCAAAAGGTGCTGCCACTCTGTGTCATCATGGTGCTGACACTGATCCCTGCCGGGCTCCTGACCATGACCCTGCTCATCTAAGAAAATAAAGAAGGTGGCGGAGACAGTAAGGGAGTGCAGTTGTAGAATCATGAAAAGAATGTGGGAGTAGAAACCAGAAAGGCTAGATTTGAGTGTCTCTCTGTTATACCTGCTGAGGGCTCCAAGCTTTGGGTTCTCATCAAAAAATAATGACAATGAGGCCAGCCTTGTCTGTCCTGAAGGCTTTTTTGCCTGCTTGCATTGAGATAACCAGATACCATGGCAAAGGAAGGAAGTGTGGTGCCGACGCAGTGACACTTTTTCTGTCAGCCACCATGATACAGTATTCCTTTGCAACACATCCCATGAGTTTTGCAGCTAGAGTTTTATAGTAGTGCAATTCCCTGCCAGCAATCTGTAATGTCATCCTTTTCTTACTCAGGAAACACAGAAATGCAAAACAATCAGGAGCATATTACTATGGAATGTGCTTCTCATTTCTATCCAAAGAACAAATGTTGTAAAGTTTACTATTAGCCATAAATTAATGACAACACACTCTATAACTGATCACTGCAGCAGAGTTAAGAACATCTCCTAATAGTGGAAATTTTATGGATTATAAAGTTTCACTTCCTGGGATTCCAGTCCTAGCCCCATCATGTCATAGCTGTGTGATCTCCTATGAGGTCTCTAGTTTCTCTTAGGCTTAGCTTTCTCATCTGCTAATAGAGATGATAAGGTATCCTGCCTCTCATAAGATCATTGCATGGACTAATGTAACACAGACAAAATGCTCCACCTGATACCTTACACATAAGCTCTCCAGTTGTGGTTGTGTAAATTGTAAGGTACAAGTATCCCTTATCCAAAGTGCTTGCTATCAGAAGTGCTTCTGATTATTTCAGACTTTGGAATATTTGCATATGCAGATTGAGATGTTTGGAAGATGAGACCCAATTCTTTTTTTTTTTTTCTTTTTCTTTCTGGTGCTGGGGAAGAACTCGGAACCTTGTGCTTTCCAGTCAGGCAGCGAACCACTGAGCTAAATCCCCAGCCTGGGATGAAACCCAATTTTAAACATAAAATTTATTTATATTTCATACACACCTTATACACGTAGCTGGAAGGTGATTTTACAAAATGTTCTTAGTGCACCTGCATTTTTACTGTGTCCAGTCACATCAGGTCAGGCGTGGAATTTTCCATTTGTGGCATCAGGTGGACACTGAAAGTTTCAGACTTCGAAGCTTTTCAGATTTTGGACTTTCGGATAAGGGTGCTCAATCTGTGTTAAGCAAATAGCCACTTCTGTTATGTGTGGGAGTGAAACATGACTTCCCACCTGTCCGCCTCACCTTCCTTCCAGGTAACCACGGTGGCTGCAGACCAGAGCTTCACCATCCGAGACCTCGCATCTGGCTCAGTGAAGTTGAACGTGGAGCGCTGTTCCTTGGGCCGCCTGACCCGCCGTGGCCTCTACCTTGCCTTCCACAATCCGGGTGCCTGTGTAGCCTTGGTGTCTGTACGGGTGTTCTACCAGCGCTGTCCTGAAACCGTGCATGGCTTGGCCCAATTCCCTGACACGCTTCCTGGACCCGCCGGGTTGATCGAAGTGGCGGGGACTTGCCTGCCGCATGCTCAAGTCAGCGCTGGGCCCTCAGGTGCACCGCGCATGCACTGCAGCCCCGACGGCGAGTGGTTGGTGCCCGTAGGCCGGTGCCTCTGCAAGCCTGGCTATGAGGAAGTCAGTGGCGGCGTGGGATGCACTGGTAAGGAAGGAGGTGATCGGACTCCTGGGACCACTCAGGAAGCCCTCTTGGGTGCCAAGCAGGGAAGGGTGCCGACACTCCTTCTCGTGCAGGTTTTGAGTGCCCAAGAACCCTGAGAACAACTATGCAGAGATGTTCCCGGTGTGCTGGATGGAGTGGAAAGAGGGAAGGGTTCGAAACCATGACTGGGCTGCTTTCTCTCTCCAGCCTGCCCTCAAGGCTCCTACCGCATAGACGCGGGCACACCCTTCTGCCTCAAGTGCCCCCACCACAGCACAGCAGATGCCGAGGGGGCCACTGTCTGTACCTGTGAGAGCGGCCACTACCGAGCCCCTGGGGAGGGCCAGCAGGAGGCGTGCACCCGTGAGTACAAGGGGCAGGGCCTGGAGGTCTAGGAGCAGGTGCTGGACCTCTGCTGAGCCCTAATTTTCCAGATCTTATCAGATATTGGATATGGTCCAGGGTGTCAGATGATTCCTTGTAGCTGCTCCCCTGGCTCTTGCTCTCGGGAGAATGCAGAAATGTGGTTTCACTGCTTTCTCTTCAGCGGAAGTCAACTCTCCTGTTGAGACCTTTGGGGACTTCCGGAATTGGGGTGACGGGGTGAGATAGTTCAGTAGCTTGGATGAGGGTAAAGCTGGCACCTACTAATGGCTCTTCTTCTCCTCCAGGGCCCCCATCAGCTCCCCGAAACCTGAGCTTCTCTGTATCAGGGACTCAGCTCTCCCTGAGTTGGGAACCCCCCACCGATATGGGGGGACGCCAGGATGTCCGATACAGTGTGGAATGTTTGCAGTGTCGGGGCACAGCACAAGATGGGGGGTCCTGCCAGCCCTGTGGGACAGGCGTGCGCCTTCTCCCAGGGGCCAGGGAGCTCACCACACCTGCTGTGAAAGTCGATGGCCTTGAACCCTATGCCAACTACACCTTTGATATTAAATCCCAAAATGGAGTGTCTGGGCTGAGCAGTTCCAGTCCAGCCAGCACCTCCCTCAGCATCAACATGGGCCAGGCAGGTAGGCACCTGGTACAAGCAGAGGGCCTTAGACCCCAGGGACCACAGATGGGCAGGAAGTGGTTGAAATGCTACTTAAGTTATTCCCTCTCTTTTCTTCCAAAACCAACTCTGTTTTTGTGGATTCCCAGAGTCGACCTCCGGCTTGTCTCTGAAGCTGGTGAAGAAAGAACCAAGGCAGCTGGAGCTGACCTGGGCAGGGTCTCGGCACCGCAGCCCAGGGGGGAACCTGAGCTATGAGCTTCATGTGCTAAACCAGGTCAGGATGCTACCAAGGAAGGGTGGAGATCGTCTGTGTCCGAGCCTGGACACACGATGACATTCCTAGCCTGGAGTGTGGGGGAGGCACCCACCACAAAAGTATACAAAGAACCCTGTCTTTACCACATTATGCAGCCTTTCTCCATGTGCTCCTTCACCTCCACCCTGGCCTTGCTCAGCACAACCCAGTTAACATAAGTCCCACCCACAGGACGAAGAATGGCACCAAATGGTTCTAGAGCCTAGGGTCCTGCTGACAAAGCTGCAACCAGATACCACCTACATTGTCAGAGTGCGCACACTGACCCCACTGGGCCCTGGCCCTTTCTCTCCTGACCACGAATTTCGGACGAGTCCACCTCCAGGTGGGTTTCTCCTTGTTCTGCCAACCACTCTTGTCCTGCAGAAGGACCTCCTCTCCTACTCCAGTTAGTGACGTTTCCTCTCTCCACCCATATGCACACTGCATTCATACATGCCTGCACACACACCCATCTCCCTGGCACAGGGGATAGACCTTGTACCTGGTACCCACTGAGAGACCTGACCCTGGGGGTACCCAGAACCCTGACTTTTAACTTGTCACCCTTATGGGCTGTGAGTTCCTAGGCTTCCTGATCCCCATCCCTACAGCTTCCAGGAGCCTGACTGGAGGAGAGATTGTGGCCATCATCTTTGGGCTGCTGCTTGGTGTGGCTCTGCTGCTTGGAATTTACATCGGCCGTTCGAGGTGCAGGGTCCTGCCCCCTTCCCCCCTACCCAACCTGGGTCCCCTTGCCTGGGCAAATGTCCCCACTGTAGCCCTTCCTGTGCCCTACCAAAACTCCCCACACCCATCCTGCATACCCAGCCCCAGTTGTTTCTGGTGGAAATTCAGCTACAGCCCACTGGGCCACTGAGATGGTCCTGGGTCCCTAAGGAAGCTGCCCTACCCCACAGACGAGGCCATCGGCAACAGCAACAGAGACAGCGGGACCGCATCACCAATGTAGATCGGGGTGAGCCAGGCACCACAGTGTTCTTCGTGAGTGTGTGCATGTGTGTGTGTTTGTGTGTGTGTCTGATTATGTGTTGCACAGGAAAGCGATCAAGGGACCCGTATTGCTAAGTCAACTCTGGGGGTGCAGGCTGGGTTTGCTGTCCCTAGGCCTCTTGTGTCTTGCCACCTAATTAACTTTGGTTAATTAACTCTGCCCTAATAGCCCATCAGTGGCTCTGATGCAATTATCTGCTAGCTGTTGGTGTTGCTGCAGGTCACCCTGAGAGACTCCGGGGAGACTCCCCCAACTCTAGTGGCTAGGTCTGTGGCCCCTGGCTGAGGCCTGGCAGGAGGGGGACTGTTGTCTTCTGAGACATATGGGTTTCCTGTCTGACATCTCATTAGACAGCCCTGAAGGAAGTGGAATGATATACGTGGTCTTCCAAGAGGCTGGAGGTGCGGGGGCGCTCATCTGGAATCCAATGAGCTGTGACTGACTTAGGGGCACAGGGACCCAGTATGGGTCATGAGCCACAGGAAGATTGGGTAACTCAAGCAGGGAATTTCCTCCTTGGCCCTGCTCTGGACATTGGAGAGTGAGGACAGAGGAGCATGGAGCACAGACAGAGAGAAAGGCTGGGATGTGGAGGCTTCATTGATAAGAATGGAGACCTTCTCCCTCTTGAGCCAAAGCAGAGCTTGCCTCCTAGAGCAGACAAGTGTGCAGAAGAGTGAGCACAGCTGCCAGCAATTCCTCCTCATCCCCCACATGCCTGGGCCCTGAAGTGGGTGCTGCTGTGGCTGAACCCCACCCCTTGTTCTCCCCAGAAGACAAGCTGTGGCTAAAGCCCTACGTGGACCTCCAGGCCTATGAAGACCCTGCACAGGGAGCCCTCGACTTCACCCAGGAGCTAGACCCAGACTGGCTGATGGTAGACACTGTCATAGGGGAAGGTGAGCCCTACTGCATAACACTGCTGGTCCCTCTGTGTGGCAACACAGAGCCCCCAACAGACCCCTACCTTCTGGCCTTCCCTGGGGAGCCCAACTGGCCTCTCCTCTAGCCCTGGAGCTCCAGAAGAGTTCTCACATGCTTTACCCCATGCCCTCTTGAATTGCTGGGGTTCATAATAAAAACCCCACATAGGTGCCCTGGAGCAGCCCCTGCTTCCTACACACATTGATCTGTGTCTATGGGGTTTCTGAAAGAGTGTCAAATGCATCCTCTCTGAACATAGATATGTTGCTGAATGGCTCTGGCTGATCTCAGATGACTCCCAAAAGTGGAAGACATTCAGAGCCTCACAAGGCCAGCATTCCACCCAATCAAGGGCCCAGGGTCCTTGGGCTGCCCTGATCCCTTGGGTCACAGGAGGAAATGGATCTGAGCAGAGAACAAAGCTTGGCAGTGCCTGTGCCAACTGTGCAGCCAAGCCAGTTCAGCCATGATCAGGGAGCGCACATAAGAGAGGCAGCAAGGGTCAGCCTCCCCGTCGGTTGTTCACTAGCCCTGGGCCCACCTGCCCTTTATAAACAAAGGACCAGGCTTGATAGGACTTGGTGTTAAGCTGGAGGCTGTGTGACCTATGGAATATAGTAGAGGTCAGGTTGCAGAACTTATGCTGGTTCTGCAGTGTCCTTTCCTCAAGAAAGATGCCCAAGTCCTATCCCAGGAAGGCACCCCATTCTTCTGTTGCTCGAGTGGAGAGGGCTAGAGGACTCGAGGGGGTCAATGTCTGATCCTAGGGTAGCCTGGTGGTGCATTAGGCCACAGCCCTGTTTTCTTTCTACACAGGAGAGTTTGGGGAAGTTTATCGAGGGACCCTGAGCCTCCCCCACCAAGACTGCAAGACTGTAGCCATTAAGACCTTAAAAGACACATCCCCAGATGGCCAGTGGTGGAACTTCCTTCGAGAGGCCACTATCATGGGCCAGTTCAACCATCCACACATTCTGCATCTGGAAGGCGTCATCACAAAGAGTATGAGCAGCGTCTCGATGAGGTGGGGGGAGAGTACAAGGGAAGGAGTGAGCCCACCCACTGGAAGTGGAGGGTATACTGCCAAGGACAGGAAGACTGACAACAGGCACTTTGTGTCCCAGGAAAGCCCATCATGATCATCATAGAGTTTATGGAAAATGGAGCCCTGGATGCCTTCCTTAAGGTAAGGGGCACAAAAAACCAGCTGAGGAGAGGATTGCACCATGGAGCCCTGATTCTTGGGAGGAGAGCTGCCTATCCCCTGACTCACTCATGGTGCTGCAGGATCGGGAAGAACAGCTGGGCCCTGGGCAGCTGGTGGCCATGCTACATGGCATAGCATCCGGCATGAACTACCTCAGTGACCACAATTACGTCCACCGGGACCTGGCTGCCAGGAACATCTTGGTGAATCAGAACCTGTGCTGCAAGGTGTCCGACTTTGGCCTGACGCGCCTTTTGGATGACTTTGGTGGCACCTATGAAACCCAGGTTAGAATGAATGCCATGGTTGGATGCCATCATACAGTTGCACATGTACACAAGAACTCATGCTTGTGTGGGCCCAATAACCTGTCCCTTGCCCACAGTAACTTTTCACCTATCACGTGTCATTTGTCTATCCTGTGCCTTCTTAGGGGGGAAAGATTCCCATCCGTTGGACAGCCCCTGAAGCCATTGCCCAGCGGATCTTCACCACAGCCAGCGATGTGTGGAGCTTTGGGATTGTGATGTGGGAGGTGCTGAGCTTTGGGGACAAGCCCTATGGGGATATGAGCAATCAAGAGGTAAGTCTGGAAATTCCTCCCCGTAGAATCCCTCACTCAAACCTCATCTCCCCCCAGATCCATTCCATGTTCGCTTTCTGTTTTATCCTGGTCCATCTTTCTGCACTCCTATAACCTCACACTTTGTTCTTTTTACCTCCTCCCACCCTGGTCAGGGTTGTTTTGGAGGCTCATGGCAATGACTGTGAGACTGTTGTTTTCTCCTGGGCCTCCAAGTGGGTTTCCGACCCTCGTGAATGACCTGTCCCCACTGTAGGTAATGAAAAGTATTGAGGATGGGTACCGGCTGCCCCCTCCTGTGGACTGCCCTGCTGCTCTGTATGAATTCATGAAGGACTGCTGGGCATATGATCGTGCTCGTCGGCCCACCTTCGCCCAGCTGCAGGGACGTCTGGAGAAACTGCTTGCCGACCCTTACTCCCTGAGGACCATTGCCAACTTTGATCCCAGGTAACCTCACTGGGAAAGAACAGGGAAATTCGAGACCAGATCTGGAAGCACACTGAGATGGAGTGCACCCAGATGCACCTCCACTGTGAAGGGGAGAGGCCCGTTCTGGATTACCCACATTGCAGAAAGCTACAGCCAGACACCAATCTGCCTATTCAACTTGGGACCTGTCCTGGAGCCACTACACTGTATTATGGCCAGAGCCACATTTTTGGCCCAGTCTGGGGTTTGGTATGCATCCCCTTCCTATGGAAATATCCTTACTGGTGGAGCAGAGGTTCACATATTCAACAAATTCTGGAGTACCTACTGGTGTTTGGTTTTTTTTGTTTTTGTATTTGTATTTTTGGTACCAGGGATCAAACTCAGGACCTTGTGCTTGCAACTGGCATGGTCTTTGTGCTGAACACTGGAGCTATGGCAAGGTTAGGGTCTGGTACCTGCTTCAGGGAGCTTGGGTAGTGAGGCTGGGGTGGGGACAGTAGGGGCAACCTGAGTGGTCTGGGGAAGGCTCTCCTATGACAGAGCCAGTCTGGGGGAACCGAGGGTGGCAAACTGCAGATGCTGTAAGATGAGGGCAGCATCCAGTCTAGGCTGAAGCTAGCAGTCTAGGGAAGCAGCGGGACTCAGCACAGAGAAGCACCTCTCAGATTGGGCTTCCTGAGTGCAGAGAATTGCTGACCCACCTCTCAGAACTGTTCCTGAGAGGAAGGGATACGGTCAAAACTGCATTTTACCAAAAGCAGAACCCGAATGTAGAGCACGAGTGGCAGAACAAGAAAGGCAGGGGAGCCAGGTAAGGCTGTGTTTCAAGTGCTTTATCGGGTAAACCAGCAAGGCTTCCTGGCCCCAGTATCAAACCACCATATATAACCTTGTCTGGGAGAAAACATGCTCTGAGTTCCAACTTCTGAATCTCTTTTGGAGCACAACTCCCTTATATGCTGGGAGACTGCATGTGCTAATCTTTCTGGAATGTTGGATATTTTTCCCCCAGCAGATTTACTTTGCTAATGGTTTTTGGCTCTGGCTGGCTTTAGTACAGGAACATTCATTGTGTTGTAAGTGTCAAGAGTGCAAGAATAACAGAAGGGGTTGAAGGTGGCAAGTTGGGGCTGCTCTTTGGATGCAGGGGCCACCCTGGAAAGGGCAGGACCACACCCAGCTGCAGGGCCTCTGCCTCCTGCCCCCAGCTTCCTCTCAGCCAGGCATACACTCATCTCTGATGGTCTACGATCAACTTCTGTTAGGGACACCCAGGGCAGCCACCTTCCCTAGATCTGTCCACATAGGAAGACTGTGAGCAGTGGTTAAGCACACCAGGAAACCAGCCAGGAAGTGGGTCCAGACAATGGCCAGCTCACTCCACAAGCTCTCTGCTTGGGTACCCAGCTTCACTGGCCACTGCTGATATCAAGGCCAAAGCCAACCAGGCCTGTGTCTGCAGATAGCCAACTCAGCCTCCTCCCGACAGGGTGACTCTCCGGCTGCCCAGCCTGAGCGGCTCAGATGGAATCCCTTATCGAAGCGTCTCTGAGTGGCTGGAGTCCATCCGCATGAAGCGCTACCTCCTGCACTTCCACTCAGCTGGGCTGGACACCATGGAATGTGTGCTGGAGCTGACAGCTGAGTGCGGACCTGGAGCTGGAGTGACTTGGGTGAGAGGGGGTCTGGGGTCCAACCTTCAGCCTCAAGGGCCTTCCTTCCTTTCTACAGGGACCTGACGCAGATGGGAATCACTCTGCCCGGGCACCAGAAGCGCATTCTTTGCAGTATTCAGGGATTTAAGGACTGAGAGATTATCTCCAGAGGAGACACCTCAGCTCTCCCCTTCCACTCCCCAGGGAGCAAGGGCAGGGCCATGGTCACTCCCCAGGCCCTGCCTTGACTTACGAGATGTAGGCTATTGGTGCTGCCCCTACCCACTCTTCCAGGACTGAGCCTCCAGGCCCAGGAGGGAGCCTCTTTGTTTTAAAAAGGGAGGTAGGGGTGTAAGTCAAGGAAATTATGGGCAGGTGGGTGGTGGGGGATGATTTAATATATATACATATACATATATATTTTTGTAAATAAACAAGAACTGAGTTTTCATCCCTACCCCTGATCATTTTATTCCTCTCTCTGCTCCAAGGGCTGTAGACACTGAGCCAACTATGGAAAATTCTGGAAAACAAGGTTTAATCTGTAGCTGTAGCCACTACCCGGCGGTGCGGGCAGGGTGGGTGTCCAGGGTCCCGGAGGATCAAGGCATCTCCTGACCCTCAGAAAGCAGAGTACGGAGGCTGCTCAGGGCCAGCCAAGGGCGTTGTTGCGCAGTGAAAGCAGCAGCACTAAATTGGTGCCCCCTCGGGTGGGGACCTGGCGGACAGTGGGCGGGTACTCCCTGCACGCTGGGCAGGCTATGCTGGGGCCCTGGGTCAGGGCACTTGAGATACCAGGGAGGGTTTGGAATGGAGGAAGGCAGGGCAAGTAGAGGCGAGGACTGATCTGTGTGGGTGGTCCATGACGGGGAGAGGACTTGCGGTCTGGAAGAAGCCCTCACTCAGGTCTGAGCTCTTGCTGTGTGGCACTTCCGACAAAGCACATGGCCGTCCAAGGGAAAGCAGCCATTGTCGTCCGCCTCAACTGACAAAGGCTTCCCACAGTCCTAGTGAGAAGGAAGAGTAAGAGGTTCACTGGCCTGGAAGGTCCCTGCTCTACCCTTCTGTCCTAGGGTTCTATCTCCGAGTTACAAAGGCCACTCGCCCCAGATGGCTCAGAGCTGGAGTCCTGGTCACGCGTGTCTTCCCAGCCACTATGCCTCTCCTGCAGTGGGCAGGGGTTGGTATACTGTCTTCAAATAAGTACCCAATGCCCACCACCCCGATGAGCCTTTGGGGTTCTCCAATCCTATCTTAACCCCAGTCTGACCTTGCTCCATAACCTCACCAACTGCCCCCCATCCCACTCCACAGTAAAGCGATGCGCTTCCCTCACACTGGCCAGTCCCTTTCTTAGTTTTGTCCAAGACTCAAAGTGAGCACCCGGGAGCCGAAGGGCAGCTGACCTCACACTTGTAACACTTCATGTGGAAATTCTTGTCCAGAGCAACCACTCGCACGGTCTCATCTCGGCCAGGCTCCGGCATAATGGGCTCCGTGCAGACAGAGCACCTTGGGGCATACTGCCTGGGAGGGGCAGAGAGCAGGATGTGGGGTCAGGCACCTCAAGCTTCTCCCCACTGGAGAGCAAAGGGGAATGAGGCTGAGGCTGTCCAGCCACTCAGCAGACCTCCATGTCCCACAGGTCTAGGTAGAGAAAGCTCAGGAGGAGGCCTAAGACAAAGTGCTGTAGCCAGCCTTACAGGGAACTTCCTGCCTCTCCCCTCACCTTCCCACTGCTCCACCTCTCATACAAGGTATCCCTCCTGCACCCTCTGCATGCAGGTGCTTCTTCGCTAACCCCCACACAATGCATAGGGACATGGAGCCCATGCCATCCCAGGAACAAGTCTGAAAACATATCCCGAAGATGCACCACCCAAGTAGGGGGGCAGACTGCAGCTTTCCTGGCCCACCCTTTAGCTAAAAGTTCTCAGTCATCCTGAGGACCTGAACAGCCTATAAGCTTTACTGCTTTTAATGAGAAACTGGTACTCCAAAAAGACTGAACTCCAAAGGAACTGTAGAACCAGCCTGCTTCTGAAACAGTCATTCTAGCTTATACCACAGGGAACTGGACCCACCCAGACGGGCCTCAGTAAGGAGTCCAGGGATGCAAGACAGCAGCACAACCACCTGGGCCTGAGGCCACCACACATCTAAATCCAGATAAGCCCTTCCCTAGAGTCAAGGCAGGAGGACATGGGGCCAGAAAGCAAGACCAGGGGTCTGGGACTCCTGGGATCTGGGGGCGGCCTGCTACCAGACAAAGCAGGATAAAAGACAGAGGAGAGCCCAAAGTCCTCACTTGTGGTAGTCAGGGACGCAGTGGGGCCTGTTGGCCTGGTCCACAATGAAAGATGTGCCCTCCAGGGGGCAGGCGCAGACCACACAGGTAAAGCAGTGCGGGTGGTAGGCTTTGCCCGTGGCTCTCAGCATGCGGTCTGTGATGGGCTGTCCACAGGTGTGGCACTTTTCCAGGGTGTCCTGAGGAGGCAGCAGTACACTGGTGGGAAACTGGGCCTAACGGCCAGCTTCTGGAGGTCACCGCCCCATCCCCGGGGCTTGGTGCCCATCCGGATCACTCACAGTGTAGCAGCCCTCACAATATGGTGCCCCCTCCAGGCTGTAGAACTGCTGTCCCTGAAGCTGCTGCTCACACTGGTGGCAGGTGAAGCAGGTGATGTGGAACAGCTGTCCAAGGGCACGGACCGCAGGCTGCGCTCGTGCTAGAGGCTGATGGCAACAGCCACAGGACTCTGGGAAGGCCACAGAAAATTGGAGGAAGAGATCTGGGACTTAAGCCCCAGGCACCATTAACAGGGCAGTGTCTCCTGGGGCAGGTGGGAGACTCACCGTTCACAGCCACGTTCTGCCTCTGAGGTTGTTCCATGTCCTGCATCAGCTGCTGGGTCAGCTGCTCCAGCTCCTCTACTTCCTTCAGGGTCAGGGGGCCCGGAGCCCCAGAAGAACGCACCTGAAACCCCAACACTTTCTTCATACTCTCCAGGGTCACACCCTCCAAGACCCTCCCAAACCTGCCAACAAGTGCCCTTCTCCATGAGGTCTCAGCTCCTGTCTATTTCCTAGGTGTTTAACTTCCTATCCCTCCTTCTCCCGCCCTGTTCAACCCCCAACACATAACAGAGGGATGGGGTGACCTTAGCCTGCATCCCCTGGGAGTAAAAGAGAGAGGACAGAGATCTCTACACCTGCTTTACCCAAACCCCAGCCACCCTCCCCCACCCCCACACCAGCAGTCACAGGCCAGAAAGACTGAGCGACGGAGGCCACGCACGCAGCAGCTCAGGTCACTGAAGCCACCAAACACACCAGGGCCACGAACCAACTTCACAGAGCATGCTCAGACGTGGCCCTCCGGAAGAGGGGCACACAAGGCGTGCACACACACCTACCCGGCCCGCCTGCTGCTGAGTAGCCCCTGTCAGCGTGAGGATGCAACACAGGCAGAAGCACAGGTTAAACACCAGAGCTGTCTGCAGGAGCCCAACCCAGCCTCCAAGAGCAGTCTCGAGCAAGGAGCTTCTGGTCTACCCAACTCCAGTGCCTAAGCCAGCCCACCCCTCCTATTGAGGGAATCGTAAGTGCTAGAAACAGACTGGGGGAAGAGATCAAAGTTAGGAACTAGGCACTGCTGTGATCTAAGAACTCCAGCAGGGGATGCCTCACCTGTACCTGCACAGGAACCCTGGGTGAGTCTTCTCCACTACGCGACAAGGCCACCCAGGATGATGACTCTAACACTGTTTGTCCTGCTGAAGCCTTCAGTCCTCCAACACCTGGGACCTCCAAAGCCTCCCTGCTACCTCCTGCCACAGCCACCAGCCCCTCACACACTCCACCCTATCCCCACACCCAGAGCACACTGCATGCAGAGCTGCACCACTCTGTTCTACTCTGCTCTGCTGTGCTCAGCTTAGGTCCCTGGGGGCCAGCCCCACCCCACCCCCAGGTCTCCACGCTGTCCCCTAAGACTGGTACTATCCATGCCTGAACTGACAGGAGCTCCTGAGTGCAAACTTCATCTTTTCCCTGCTGGAATTTGGAGTCAGGAAAAGGGATTCATCCGATACTTGTTCTCCAGTGCCACTATAAGTATGTTAGCTCTTAAAAAGGAAGAACTAGCCATGCACACCCCTTCCCCAAGGGTATGCACATCCTTCAGGATGCTATCAGCCACTGTGTCCTCCCTGCCTGCTGACAGCTGTGTCTCTGCTGTCAGAACTCAGACTTCTAGCTCCTCAACTCCCATGGCTCCAAACCTCTCTCGCTCACAGCCGCCTTCCATCTCAGGACACCTTGGACCTAAAGTTGACACTTTTTTGCCCCTAATCACTCCCCCAAGCCTTTTCCATGACTCATGCAAGGGCTTCAGGGTCCCTGACTCCCTGCCAGCCTCCTTGGCCTTGTCCATCAAGCTCCCAGGCTGGGCCAGGGCCAGCTATGTCTACAAGGCTCCTAGTCACTCCTGCCACCTTGGCTATCTGGCCCTGGGTCACACCCCCACCTGCTTCCTGTTTCTACCTCAAGACTGCAGAAAGTAGGTGGAGAAATCACTGAACACTGCAGAGTGCAGAAAAACCACTGCAGCGCCCTCCATACCTCCTGCCCAGCCTAGCTGTCTGGTATTTGGCTGCGGCAGCAGATTCCCAGTTGCCTTCCCACAGCAGCTGTTCCAAACCTTTCCCATCACTCTGAGCCCCCAACGGCTTCACCCGCTTGTGCTCACCCATGACTTCGCTCCTCCATGAAAGAGATGGCAGGCGGCCAGCGTAAGCTCCCTCCTCGTCCTTCCCCTGCACACCTCGAGTGTGACCCTGTCCCCGCTCTCTGGGGCACTTCTGGGGTCAGTCAGTCCTTGCTGTGAGCCCGACCCCTGCCCCACTAGTTTCTGTCTCCTGTTTACTGCACACCTGGGCCCCTAAACCAAAAATTACACACACACACACACACACACACACACACTCTCACACACACGGCACATTCAGTCCAGCCCTTATCACAGCCAATCTTTGAAACAAGGCTACACCAACAACTGTGTTGTCACCACCAGCTCACTCCTTAACTCCTTACTCCCTGCTCCCACACAGGGCACAAATGGGCCACCCCAAGGTCATACGCAACATCCTCTAGCTATATCTCTGGCCTTATTAGAGTCCTTCCACTCCTCAAATCCACAGCTGAAGGGCTCCTTAGGACTGTACCCCATCCTTTTACCCTCTCCCTCAAGCCCTTCTCCTGCTCCTTGTTGGACCTCTTCAACCACCCACCTAACCTACATGTCTGGACCCAAGTTCCTCTCAGAACCTCAGCACCCCTCTGCACAGTCTTAGGAAGCCTGCCCGGTCCTACTACCACTGTCCCTGCACAAACTACCAGGGGCCCACCTCGACTCTGGGGACACTCCCGAATCCCAGCCCCACATTTCTGGCTGAATGACAGCTCCAGTCGAAAGCAAGTGCTCTTGGAACCTCTTGCTCAACACAGTGACAGCTGGACTCCTCCTCTTCCCATCCAAACCATTTCCCCTCCTGGACTTCTCTATTTTGTCAGCAATACCATCACCCAAGACACCCAGGCTCTGAACCTCCAGGGACTTTTTCTTCCCCTCCCTTCTCCTATTCCAACTGTTTATCATCGCCTCCTCCTGTAGGCCCTTCCTTTGTTAACAGCCTTATCCCTGGGTTTTACTTTTCATTGCAACTAATGTTACTGTGGCCTGGAAGTGAACTCACACACATCACTGACTCCCAACCTCCCCACCTCTCTGACCTCCAACACATCTCCCTTGGAAAGTCCAGAAAGCTTCCAAAACCAGACCTTCCACCAGCTGTCCCAAGCCAGTCACACACTACTCAAAGCTCATTAATGATTCTCCAATATGCACAAGCTCCGTGTGGATTTCACTTCCTGATCCCTCAAGCCCTGGCCTACTTAAATCTAGCTATAGAACTTTCCCACAAAGACCTTGTGCTTTCTGTTCTCCAAACATCCAGTGCATATGCACCCTTGAGTTTTACACACTCTCATCCTAACCCACACATGGTAACCCTAGCTCTAACCCACATGCTATTCCCATCAAAATGCTGTTCCCTCTCCTGTCTAGATTCTCAGCCTCACCCATTGTTCAAAGCACACCAGCTCCTCAAAGCCTTTCCCAACTTGCCAGTCCTCAAGCGGGCTCCCTGTTCTGAGTTCCTGTAATTCACAAGATGCTGACTTACAGGAACTGGCACTTGACATTTCTTCCTATATGCAAACATTCTACACATACACAGATGTTCGCAGTGTTTGCTGGGCTGTACAGACAGTTAGACCACATAACCATTGGGGTCTCAACTCAAAGATCCTGTCTCCTGGATAAGAAGCCAAGAGCCATTTCAGTTGGCTTGTTTCTATTTTGAGCATTTATGTGCTTTCTAAGCATGAGCTCACTTGCTCTTCATAACCATGTATGGGACAAATAAGTGTTATTTTAAGGTGAGAGAAAGGGAAGCTCAAAGTTCACCTAACAGCTTGTATGAAGCTGAGCTGGGAATTCTATCCCAGGTGCACAGACTCCCTAAGCCTGAGCCTCTTTGAGAGATCTCTTCCCTGTTGTCCCAGCCCTAGGAGCACAGAGCACAGAGCACAGAGCTGGCACTCAGCTGATGCTGGCTCAGCCGCTGTTTGCTGGTGCTGCAACTATTATCTCAAGTTGGGCCTTGGGGTGCTGAAAGTGCTCAGAGAAACTGAGAGATTAACTCAAGGCCCAAGGCCCA